TACAAACCAAAACAAAAAAAGAAGTACCAGTAATATATATATATATATATATATATATATACAATAGGGCAAGAGAAAAAAAAAAAACCGGGGTGTGACAATAGCTCTGTGTCACACTTATACAATATTGGAGAGCGGGAAATAGACGGAATTGGGTCCTTCCAAAGGCGGCGATGCACTGACGTCTCGCGACTGCTGCTCATGTGTATGCGCATGTTTGTTTGTTTGTTCGTGTTCTGCTTTTTTTTTCTTTATCTCTCTCTTTGGCTGCCTCACTTACGGACGACGCTTTCCACATGTACTTCGTGGTTTTCACCCCCTGTTTTTGTGTTTCTTCAGGCCGTTGCTGCCGTGTCACGATTACAGCAGATGTATGTCTGTTCCCTGCCGCCCTTCCTCCTGTTGTGGACAAAACGAGACGCAGGAAAAATGTAAGGAAGAACCGCTTTTGTTTTTGTTGTTTATTTGTTGCTCCCTCTTTTTCGTTTCTTTGTGTTCTTACAATGCCTTATGTGACTCGTGGAGAGGGGTGTGTGCATGCCCCGTCCGTCTGCGCGGTGGATCAGTCATTGCGTCTCTTTGTGTTTTTTCTGCTGGTGTTTCACCCGCGTAGGTAGTCAGGCAACAGGTGGAGGCGAGGAAGAGGCAGCTTGCGGCAGGCGGTGAGTGCACTCGCAGTGGCAGGTCTTTACCACACACTCGCACACATACACACACAGGGGACGGTGCCAGCACACAGACCAGACAGCGACATTTTTAGGAGCGGTGGAGGGGTCGGAAGGGTGTTGTTACGTGCAGGCATTTAGAACTTTCTCCTCCTCTCTCTATGGCGCTTGCTCACGCCCACCACGGCGGCGGCGCCATCTACACTCTGCTCAACGAAGATCCACCGTCAGCTGACGCATTGGCGCGTGCATGTAGAGCGGGATGTCTGCCGTACCCCAACCGGCTTGTTCGCCGCCTCATCGTTGTGCCCGCCGCAGCGCCGCACATTGATGAGAGCAGCACCGCGGAGTCCCCTCTACAAGCGCAACGATTGCAGAAAACACGGGAGGCTAATGCGCAGGATTGGGAGAGAGGCGCGCGGTACGCCGGCCTTCTACGGAGTCACTACGTCCCCCTCGTGCCGTTCTCCACCTTTGCCGCCCCCCTGAAAGGTCTCTGCACAATCCCCACCATCGCAGAATACTCGGCGGCGGCCGGGCAGCCGCACTTTGCTCGACCCAAGGAGGAGGACTACTTGATGTGTGGGGGATTTCACCCCGGACCCGAGCTTTACTGCCGTCGTGGAAAGCCCCGGATGGGGGTGGTGGAGCAGCAGACTGTGCAGCTCGAGAGGATGTATCCATGCGAGGTGATGCCCTTACCGCCTCGCATCCTTGACCTACCCAGCAGCGCGAGCGTTCTCTTTCCCATTTGACGTGCGCCACACATGAAGCTCTGCAGAGGGCCCAACAGGCGTCTTTAATATCGAACTTGCTGTACAGATTACACACTATACTGAATCCAACTTGCACTCACTGGCGAGGGCGCCGCATCAACGGCAGCGAATTTTCGTGACGGAGGTCATGCACATTCTTTGACGCAACAAAACCTCTCCTTTCTGCACACAAATGCCACCGACAAGGGAATAGCAACAGGAAACATGAGTTAAAGCACATTCCGTTTCAAAAGACACCAGATGAAAAAAAAAACATAGCGAACAACAAAAAGACATATTGACTTGCGTAGTGAGGGGACACTCCTTCAGAATGGTGGCCGTAAGCACGCGCGATAACTTGCAAGAAGGTTGACTACGTGTGCAAGGCCGTAGTCGGCCGGCAGGGCACGTTGTGAAGAGGCATCTTGTTTACGCGGTCCGATGTGAGGCCGGAGTGTCTGAGAGAAGTGCAACATGCGCCGGCGAACTGCTGCTGGCGTGACGGCGGGGACCGTGTTCCAACATGACCCATAGAGGGGTCGTGACGTGGTGTAGGGGGAGGCGGAGGAGGTGAATGAGACCGTTGGGTTTCTCGCTTCTCACCAGAGAATGGGACCATGATGTGAGGCCGGGCGACGCTGAGGGCGCGGAGAAGGCGATGGGCGTGATGTACGGCGCGGAAAAGGAGGCGTGCGCGACGACCCACGGCACTGCGACTGACTGTAAGGAGGTGGGGGTAGGAGATTCAGTGCCCGGCGGTGTCTGTTGGGGCTCCATGAACTCGTCCGCTGGAATTTCTGTGACCCCGACCGGACCTGCCGTTTACACTGGCCGGTGCTGCTGAGGAGGCGAGTGCAGCCGGTTGTGAGGGGCGAAAGGCGTCCTCGCGCGGTGTTGGCAGAACGTAGTCAAGATAAGTGCTTTGTCCGCCGCGTCGTGGTCAAAGTGGGGAAGGCAGCTTTGCGATGCCGACGCCGCCGCGTTACGGGTTTGTCTCGCCGAAGGGCAGTTGGCGACGGATTGATCCTTCTGGCAGCATCAGCATCGTTGTTGTTTATCGTGGACATGGTGGGGGACGCAGCATCTGCGGCAGCTGGGAATAACCCCAAGACCGTGGGAATAGCTGAGCGCCACTGCAGCTAGCAGCGGGTCGTTTTGGCTTAACTGCTTTGCTCCACTCCCGTTCTATTTACCTTCTTCTTTTGTGTGTTTGTGCCTTTATGATCTTTGCACATTAACTGTTTGCCCTGTATGATTGCATGTGCTGTGATGCACGCAATCCCGCCGCCGCCGTTCCTTTGTGGGCGTCTGCTGCACCCTTCCTTCCTCGCTGTGACGTTGCGTGATCCGCCGACTCTCCCCTCTTGTGACTTTGCCTCCTTTTTGACTTGGTCTTCTTCGTGTGTGCGCAAATTGCGTGCGGCTCTGCGTGCTGCATCTGGGTGCTCCTCATCTTCCCACCTCTCTCTTTTTGAGTTCTACACACACACACATACATATATACATACATACATACACACATATTACACACTGTCCAGTCTGTGCGGAAGAAAGGAGCGCACATACAGAGCGAACGAACGAGAGAGAAGAGGGCATAAAGAGTGAGGTTGACCTCAAGGCGGGGGACTACAGTGTGACATCGAGGGGCTGTCTCGTCGCTGGTTGCCACGGCACGGTGTGTCTTGTCCACCTCCTCGTTTCCGCTTTCGGGGTTTGCTGTCAGGTGCGTTGGTCATCACCGCATTCCTGCCCTTACTTCAGAAAAGGTGTGGGTTAGGCAGCGACAGAAGGGGTGCGAGGCTGCAGCCACTTACATTTCTTGGTCCGTCGACACGATGCTCCGTCGCGTGTTCCTGTCTCTTTGCCACAGTGTGCCGCAGCTTTCCAGCGTCGGTATATTTCCGCTGCATTTGGATCCGCCCACCGCCCAACACCGCGAGATCTTCCGGCTGCTGATTGGGGACACGATCCCCGACCGCAGCCACGCTGGCCGCAGCGACAATCATGCTCGTGCCATTGGCGGTGGCCCGCGCCAGGCCACCGGCAGAAGCCAGATGGTGGGCTCGCTTTGCTGCCTTGACTCCCTTGCGGAGAGTTTGAAGAAGAGTGAGTGTGTGCCCTTCGAACACCTCATTTTGGTCCCCAATACACGATTCCCCGTCTCCTTGCGTCTCTCCACGCACATTGCTGCCTTGACAACACTCGTTGTGCGTGGCCTCCCTCGTGTGCACGTGGACTTCGCTGCGCTTGAGAACCCGGATGAGGACATGCAGTGCGTGTACGAGTTGACGCAGCGCTACCGCAACAGCACACTCGTGCACTGGCTGCAGGACGCACATGAGATGCAGAAATGGGACCATTTTAGTCATGTTAAGCTTCACGTACCAGTTTTGCTGTTGCAGACGGTAAGCTTTCCTATCAGCATGCTGGGTAAGCCGCGCGACGCAAGGTTTATGGAGAAGTATGCCTCTAGCGCCTTTGGAACGTTAAATACGCCAGATCGGGCGACAACAACGCAACAATCGCAATTGGGGCAGCCTCAGCAGGAAAATAACAGTGACGATGCCGTGTCTCTCCCTAAGAAGGATGACGGCCACGGCGAGAAGGCCGGCGACACTGGCAGCCGCAGTGGTCAGCGCATGGCTTTGCCTCGATGGGTGCATGGGGGTGACGGTGAGGAGGAGGTGGAGTTTAGCCGGTCCTACTTTAGTTCCTCAACCTCATCATGGCTGGCGCCTTTACACAACATCCCCTTGCTACTGCAGCCTTATGAGCACACAGAGCTTATCGCCCATGGCAAGACTGACTCCGGCGCGAAAGGTCTGGAAAACATCTTGCGAAGCAAGGGCAAGCTTGGAAACGGGATCGATAGTGCTCACCCAGGCAATGCAGGGAAGACAATGCATGATGCGAGTGGTGCAGGCATGAGTGAGGGGAAGGCGGCATTGCAATCGAATGGCTCCGCGGATGCCAGTGGGGGGCCGTCGTCAGTAAAGGAGCCGAAAAATAACGACGACGACGTCGTCGAGGAGCTTGAAGGCCTTAGCTTCTCATATGATACTGTACCGGCTCGCTATAAGGTCCGCCACCTCGTTGAGGAGCTTTTTTCTACGCATCAAGGCATGGAAGAAGGCAATGGCGGTCCCGCCGCCAGCGCTTCGTCGCCGCATGTTGAAGTACATACCGTTCACCGCTGCACAGGGGCCGATGTGCGTCAGGCACTTTGGGAGCGTGAGGTGGATCCAGCACTGCTGCTCACAGAGCCAGTGTATCGCTACATCACTAGTCACGGCCTCTACCAGGATTACCGCAAAGGCAACTGTGCGAGCATGGGCCAGGTGCAGCAGTTGAGCGGCAGTGTTAATAACAACAGTAGAAGTAGCAGCAGTACGACTACGTGGCGAAGGGGCAAAGTGCGGACGATTGGTCCCTCCGCCACTTTGTCTTTCGCTGGTCTCATACCGAGGCTGGAGCTGCACTATGAGTCGAGCAATTTGCTCGCCTGCGAGTATTACGATAAGCTTAGATCGTTTGAGGTGGCTGCGGACGAGGAGCCAGATCTTATTGTACCCATTGGCGGCGATGGTTACATGATGCATTGCATTCGAAACAACTGGAGCCGGTTTATTCCTTTTTTTGGTGTGAATGCCGGGCACGTTGGCTACTTGCTGAACGACCCCACCACTCTGGGGGAACTCTTCTCCGCCCCACTGAAGCTGCACAGTTCGATCATGCTTTATTGTCTTGCCGAGAAGGAGACGGAGTCCGGGGAGAAGGTGCTGCTCACACACTTGGCCTTCAATGATGCATGGGTGGAGCGCTCCAGCGGCCAAACCGCCCATATCCGCATTCTCGTAAACGGCGAGGAACGCATTCATTTGCTGCGCGGCGACGGTGTGTTGGTGTCCACCGCGGCCGGCAGCACGGCGTATTGCCAGGCGCTAGGCGCATCGCCCGTCCCCGTCGGGGCTCCGCTGATTCAGGTTGTGGGCAGCAACGTCGTGTCTCCGGCACAGTGGCGGCCGACGCACCTCAACCAGGAGGACCAGGTGGAGCTGGAGGTGATCGAAAGCTCCAAACGCCCGTGCCGCTGCTTCGTGGACGCCGTGGACGTGGGCACTGTCACACGCATGCTGGTGCGTTCCAGCCGAGCCGCGGGGGTCGCAATAGCCTTTACGAGCAGCTGCGACATCAAGCAGAAGTTGTACCAGATGCAGTTTCCAAAGACAATGTGATGGCAACGCCTCCCTCGTTGGAAGAAAACAAAAACAAAAAAACAACAACCAGAGCGTGAAAAGTGGTGGTGCTCCGCGCTCCTCACAATCACGTGCTTGCCCGGCATTATTAATGATTATTACTGTGATTCTTATACGTCTACCACGCATGTGTGCGGCTGTGTCTGTCATTATTCCCAGCCGCTGCAGTTTACTCAATGTGCATTTCGGCGTTTGTTCGTGGCGATAAATGAACGTAGAAATAAAAAGAAGAACAAACGGAGGGGGAGGCGGATGCTGATCCTCTCCAAAGAACATATATATATAAAGGAAAAAAATGGTTTGCAGTAGCTGACGAAGAGTTTAGTTGCTCGGCAGCATCAAAACTTTTTTTTTTAAATGTTTTATCTGAGCCACACACGCGCACGCGGATTCGCGATTCCTCCTCCCCCCTCCCCCTCACTACTTTTTTTTTTGTGTTACCAATTTCGCTGCGTTTCTCGCACTCTCTGCGTCCGTGTTGTGTGTTGGGGCGTGGGATGAGAGGGTGAGAGGGTAGGGTAGTAGACGGGAGGGATTTTGTATTTGTTTTTGCCTGCCTTCTTCCTGCATTTATTTACGTGCCTCCCTACTCGTGGATTTGGAATACATGGGGGAGAGAGAGGGACCGGTGCTAGCAGAGACACGCACAGAGTGATATATATATATATATATATATATAATATACCCCAGTAGATAGATAAGGAAGGCGAAGAGCGAGGGAGGCGCACCAGCACTCGTACATTGTGTATACATTGCGGGCGTTCATTCGCCCACTTGCACTCTTACAACTACAGCAGCAGTCGCACGGGATAGACAAGGGAGCAGACGAAGTTGTCGTCTTCGCGTCTGTCAGTTCAGTTATGCAGGGCAACGAGAGTCAGCAGCACCATCCCCTTCAGCGTGGGGACCACGTGACGGCGGCGACGCTGCCTGTGGACTCATCGTTCGTATTTGACGAGGGACGAGGGACTACTCCTTTCAGCCAGCAGGGCACGCAGCAGCCAACCCTGTCGGCATCACGTCAGCGTCCGCGCTTTGCCACCGCACAGGACCTTGATGACGCCCTCTTGCAGGCTATTGAGGGCAAAATCACCCGCAAGAATGCGTGGGTCTCAAAGGACGCCAGCAACCTGCTGGAGGGCATCACCCATACGGTGGAGAGTACGCTGGATTCCGCGACAGTCACCGACGAATACTCCAGTTTTGCCAAGGTAGCAACGGTTGTAGAGGGCTGCTCAAAGGTGTGGACCAGCCGCGTTGACAGCACCTACCAGCGCTCCAACCAGATGGTGCGGCGCCTGCTGCGGAACGAAGAGGGCGACGGGGACGGCAGCGACGGCGAGGGAAATGGCGCCGACGGGTACGCGGCTGGTGAGAGCTCCGCCGCCGCCACAGCCGAGCGCAGGAAAAAGGCCGCCGAGCGCCGCACGCGGTCAGTCCGCACCATCGCCCTGGACCCGTCGGAGATCAACTTGGACGGTAAGGGTCGCATGACGCTTGTCCACACTGGCGTGAACGCACAGTTTCGTGCCATCACGGAAAAGTTTGATCAGGGCAACGCGCAGGGTCTGCTGTTGCACAATACACCACTGGGGAGCACAGGAAATTTGATCCTCGACGTGGACTACACACGTGAGACAGGGCGGGAGTACTCCGCGCGACGAAGTCGCCTCTCTGGTGGATCACGACACTCCAAGCAAGAGACGGAGGACGAAACATTGATGCTTGCCGCCGCTGAGGAGTTCGATGTCGGCCTTGACACACCCCTCGAGCTGCCTTCGTTCCCGTCTGTTTTTTCGACAGCAGCATCGGCGAGGCACAGTCCGCAGTCCGGCGATAAGAGGGAAGGTGGTGGGGCAGTGAGCGGTAACCGGCTGAGCGGCGGCAGCAGCAGAGTGAATACAGAGGAGGAGGTATGGCGACCGTCCATGATGCTGCCGTCGCTGCTACTTTTACCGCACACGGCTCCGCCAGAGGCGAAAGAGCCTGGGGGTGGTGGCCACGCTACGACTGCAGGGGAACTACAGGGCCAGCAGCAGCACCAGCTTCCGGAATACAATCACGATGGGGATGATGGGGCCTGGGGAGGCGGTGTGGACTACGGCGACGCCTTTGACGATGACGACGATGACAACAACAACACCGGCGCTGGTCTTGATGTTTCAAATGGAAATGACGTAAATACGGAAGCGCTGTGCGAGCGTGTCGCGGCGGAGGCACGCCATTTGGTCTCGGGCGTCACCGAGCTCAATGCCATAGACGGTTGCCTTTTCGGGGAGAATCGCCTGGCACTCGAGGCGGAAGACCCCACCTCATGGTTCCCTCTTGCAGAGCCGCCGGCCAATGCGCTGCTGGGTGGCGCAGCAGGCAAAAACTCCGAGTTGTTGCGGCTACACAAGGAACACCGCATCACGCAGGCTGCCGCACACTCCCAGGGCGGGTCTACGCCGGCCAACAAGCGTGCGAAGCGTGGCAAGACCGTCGCGTTTAATCTTCCAGGAGAGTTGGCCATTGTCTCGGCCGCAAGTGGCCCCGGCAGTGGCGGGGCTGCGGAAAACTCCTCGTCCTCGTCCTTTTTCTTATTGGGCGGGGGCGGCGTGGACAGTTCCGCCCTCAGGCAGAGCACGACCTTCGGGAAGAACATGACACCGCTCGGGAAGGGGCTGTTGCTCGGTAAGGATCCAAACGCCATTCTTGCCTTTACTCAGAGTGTTGTGCAGCGTAGCAAGGCGCAAGAGGCAGGGTTGTTGCTTCCAGAACCACCTGTGCCAGGTAAAAGCATTCCAGCGTATCTGCCGTATCCAATTCATGTGCCAGCTTTCTTTCAGCCCTTTTCAACCTCGCTGCTGCAGTGGAATCTTCTACGCAAGTCCGCATCAGGCCACAGTCTCGCACTCAGCAGCGCTGCGCCCTCCCGACGCGTGAGTGGCGTCCTTGTGAATAATAACTGGGACGCAAAAAGAAGTGGGGACACCCAGAGTCAATTTGGTCACGACGACGATGATGACGACGACGGTAGTGGATCCGGCACAGTTGGTGCCATGCCCGTGGAATTCTTTCATGGCGGTGCGGAGGCTGACGACGAATTCATGGGCGCCGGTGGCTTCGATGACTACGACGAGGATGGCGGTGTCGCCTACGGGGATACGGAGGACCCGCTGCGGCAAGTGGAGGCCCAAATATTGTCTAGTTTTGAGCGGCCAGAGTTGGCGCGGGCAAACGCCGCCACAACGGTGCATAGCGACGGACGCCGCAGCGGCGCTAGTGCGCTTGCCGACGTTGATCCACTGGCACTGGTGCGGGTACTGCAGCCGCCTCAGACGGCACTTCCATCGCAGGTGGACGTTGTACGGCTGCGGCAGGAGATGTGGGGGGCGCTAGAGAACGCGATGCGACGCAGCCCCGCCGTCCAGGTGCAACACCACGATGGGGAGGAGCGGCGGAAGTTGGCAGGTCACAAACGTCGCCGTGTGGACAGCGCAGCCGAGGATGGCGCTGAGGAGCCGAGCGGTGAGGAGCTGCCGCGGTTCAGCGAGGTGGTTGTGCCCATCCTTCCGCGGGTGTCGACGATATCTGCGACCGGCACGCTCTCGCCGGCTTTCTTCTTCTTTTCCATCCTTTTCCTTGCCAACGAGCACGGGGTGATGCTGGAGAGTGTGCCGGGGCTGGACGACCTCGTCGTGCTCGGCGTGAGCGGCCCAGCAACCCCTGCGGCCGCAGAGTGACAGCGAGGCACGTGAGGATACTAGAGCGACGGGCAAATAAACCGAGAAGAAGAGAAGAAGAGAAAGACAGCATCGTTGTCTTTGGGTTGTTGTTGCCGTGGGGGGCTGTAGTATGCAGAAGACAAGAATGGAAAGAAGAAAAATAGAAAAAATAGAAAAAAAAAACAGTGACAAAGAATAAAATGAGAGGGACGGTGAAGAGAAATTTTTTTTTTTTGCACGCTGCCTCTGTGTACATCTCTACGCGTGTATGTGTGGGCGAGAGAGATCGCCACTGCAGGATATGGGCTGGGGCTACAGCCGTCCTGGTGGAATGCGTGCAGGCAGCACTCAGCTCTTGCGGCACACACACACACACACACACACACACACACACACACATGCGTGCATGCATAGAGATGGAGTGAGAATGAAAGGCTGTCTGGCGCATTTATTCCTTTCTTTCCTTCCTTTTGTTTCATGGGCGCCTTTTTTTCCCCTCTTCTTATTCACCTCGAATGGACGCGACACACTGTGGCGCTGCAGGAAGGCGTTTTTGAGGCGGCATTAAGCCTGACGGGAACCATACCCCACCCAAACGGCAGGAAAGAGTAAATGCATAACTAGTCAACTGTCAAGCACCCCATCAAACTGTAGAGGGGGGTGTTTGGCCGGCTTCAGGCGTTGGCGCGCAAACCACGCACCAAGAAGGGGGAACAAGGGAAGAGTGGGGGTGCTTGTGTGTGCGTTGGGAAACGGCAGCGGAAAGGGGTGGGGGTATATGCTATTTCCACTGCCAAGGAAATATTACTTTCTGGTACACGATGCGGTATGCAAGGTGGTGGGTGTGGATGTGGAGATCGCTGCCTTCGTGTCGTCCAAGGGGAAATTTCAGTGCGACATGCTTGTTAACGCCAGCGCCACTGACCCTGAGCTGGCGGATCGCGCGGGCGGCCGGAACGCCTATGTGCGGGACTTTGCTCTGGGGCTACAGCGGTATTTAGGCAGCTGTGATGTTGTTGTGCGGCGTCGGCGCCTGGACGTCGTGTTTCTGGACCGCGAGGTGCTGCAGCTCGCGTTGGGTGCCTCACGGCGGACGATCAACAACCTGCAGAGCGGGGAAAGCATCAACGCGGAGCCTGAGTGGACGCACCGTAACCGCCTTCGTATCTTCCTTGGCTACGACGAGGACCTCTTCCGCAGCGCCTGCGATCTCAAGATGAACATCGCCGCCCGCCTGATGGAAAAGTGGGTCTTTGACACTTACTATGACCCCGCGCGCTGCGGAAGCGTGGATCAGTTTCTGCAGACGGAGTGTCCACCGGTGTCGTACTGGCAGGCCCACGGCTACACGCACACGCTGGCGGGGGAGTAACACTTTGACCACCATGTTTCGCTGGTTGGCACCATCTCCCATAACTTTGCGAAGTACCACGGCGAGTTTTCCTTTGACAATCCCTACTGCCCCGGGGAGGACATGAACACCATGGCGTCCGTGCAGTGGTTCTGCAGGGCGTGGAAACAACTGCTGATGGAGGTCGCTGAGGAGGTGTGTGAACTGCAACTTGGCATGCAACAGCTGCAGCTGCAGCCGACACAGCCTCAGCAGTAGCGTGGGAGAGGAGTGTGCTACTGAACGACGTTGTAAAAGCTGAGGGAGGCGGCTGTCCAAGGCACAGCCGTGCCCACGCCACGCAATGCTTTTTTTTTTTAGCGTGTTTACATGTGTTGCAAACAAGCTTCCATGGTGGATGCCTGGTTTGAGGCTTCGTGCTTGCCTGCTGTCACCATCTGTTCATGGGGGCGCCCCAGCGCTCTTTAATTTTGCTTCTCATGCCTCCACCGCCTTCGGTGCCAGCGTGACAAGCGAAGGAAGGATAAAATACACAGGAGGAGGAGGGACGAGGAACGCGGCAGTCGCACAGCGAGGGAAGAAATGGGCACAATATCTGGTGATGGCGTCGAGAATGCGAAGAGTAGCTGCAGCGGTGATGTCAGCGGCAGCGGTGGGAGTAGCAGTAGGACTAGCGGCAATAGCAGTGACAACGGCGGCGGGGCGTCTGCGGCTTCGGCGAGTTCGCCACCACCACAATCTCCACCTCCTCTCTCCTTATCGTCGTTATCATCATCGCCCGCTGCTGCCGCCGCCACCGCAGCAGTAACAACAACAACAGAGGTGTCGTTGTCCTCGCCGTCCCGGCGGTTTGCTCTCTTTGGCAGTCGTGCACTCGCCGCAGGAAGCAAAGGCCGTTTACAGGCCCCTGCCTCTTTCTCTTCCAACACGTCCTCGTCCTCTGTGCCTGCGCAGCAGCAGCAGCAGCAGCAGCAGGGGCTGACGGCGTTTGGTGCGCGTCGCGGAGACACCGCGACGCACATTCGCCTGAGCAGTGAGTTATCGTCACAGGGGAAATACCTCGTTGTGGGTGACGGCATGATGGCGCCGTTCATGGCACTTTGCCTGCGCGTCCACGGCCTGGACTGCGACCTCGCCCACCACGTCAGCAGCAATGACATGGACCGCGGCACCATCGTCCTCACGCCCTCCGTCACGCAGGTGATGGGTGACGTGCTGAACGTCTCTGTCCCCAGCGGGAGCGTCGTTGGCCGAATCTTGACATTTGATCACGTTGGAAATGACATGTGCGACGTGGATTTGAACGAATTTCGTGAGAAGGGCGAGAGTCCGACGTTTTTCTGCTGCGATCGGCTCAAGCTGGAGCGGGCGTTGCTGTCGCTGTGCGAGGTTGGCTCCCACAGCTGCCACGTGCTGCCCAAGCCGCACATTGACAGGGGCGGACTTGAGCCGCTTGAGAACGGCGGCGTGCGTGTGCGGTTTGCGAGCGGCATGCACCAGGACTATCTGGGCGTCATCTGCACAAGCCGCAGTCAGGAGCTCGTGCCAGAGCTCACGCTCACGAATGAGGAGCTGCAGCAGCGGGCAGAGAATACTGATAAGTTCAAGGAGGGCCTCACGAAGGCGGTGCGTTGGATGGAGCTGTGCGTCCCCCCGCTGCCGGAGTTGGGGCGGTTTGAGAAACGCTTCACGCCGGGCTCGCAGGAGATCGTTGAGCTGCTCACCCCCCGCGACGCCAAGATGACGGTGCGCCCCACTATGATGGCGACCAAGCTCTTTTACAACGTGACCATCACTATCCCGGACGGCACCACGGACCCGCGGCTGAAGAGCACCAGCACAAAGCAATTTTGGGACGATGTCATCATGCACTGGACCTCTGGGGTACCGGGGTACATCCCCCACACAATGTTTCGGCCAATGATGACGCACATGCAGCAGCACTTTACGAGGAGTAGTGCCTTGGTGTACCGCACCCCGCTTTTCCTCATGCCACACTGGTCGGAGGGCGGGGGCCGCGTCATAAAGGTTGCACACGCCGCCCACGGATGCGCATTTGACGCCATTGACGTGGCGGATGCGCAGGGGTTTACTGACTGCTTCGGCCTCGCTCGTGCCTTGGCGGAGGGCGACGATATGCAGCAGTTTCTTCACAATCGGCGGCTACAAGTTATGGAGGAGCTCGACTACCACACAGTGCTGCTGAACTACGCCGTAAAGGAGCGTGGGCAGCTGGCGTACATGTCGTCTCGCTTTGCCATGAAAATAATGCGTCGATACAAAAAGAGCTGGCGCAGCATTTTGCGCAACTACGTGACACTGATGCCGAAGGTGGCGAAGTAGTCCCGCTGTCGATTGCGCGCCCACACTCCATGAGGGCATAATACGTGTTGTTTATAAGACCCCCCTCCATATGTAGGCTCGCTTTCTTTTTGTATTCATGACTGCACGCATGTACTCCCGCGCTGCATACCACGACGTGGCGGGGGTGAGGGGTGGGGGGCTCACACGCTTCCACAAGAAGGGCAAAAAGAAGAAAACATGGAAAACAAAAAAAAAAAGTAAACGATGCTTAGGTGCTGGAATGAGGGAAAGAAACAATATTTATATATATATATATATATTTTGTGTTTGTGAGGGTGGTGGGCGTGGGGAAGGAAGTAAAAAAAGACAAAAAACAAAACATAGTTGATGGCTGCCTATGACCTTAGCGGAGGCATGACGAGCAGCAAAAAGAAAAAAAAAGGCGAGTGACTGCAGCAGAGACGGATGGAGGACCGGCGCGCATATATTTGTAAGCATATTTTCACATTTATGAACCTCTTTTTTTGCGTCTTGGCTGTGAGTCCCAAGTCATTTTTCTTCATATTTATTTTGCCTCTCTTTCTCTCCCTCTTTTCCACTTTTTTTTTTTCTCGCCTTCTACATACATGCGTGTACACGCGTTTAGGCGTCGGTGCACTGCTGCTTGGCGTGCTGCAAACCCTACCTTCTCGTTTCACGTTGGGGGGCGAAAGAGAGGGGGGATAAAGGGCTTGGATGCTGCGAGGCAGCCGTCGATTGCATGCCCTGAACAAGTCGACAGGGCACCGATGGAGTCCTATTCCAAATCCACCACCTCCGCACGTGGATCGTCTCTGTGGGACGCATAGTGTACTTAACGCTCTCCGGGCCTTCTACAACGCCGCCGGCCGCCGACACCCGCACCGGAAGAAGCTGCACTGCCTGTTCGTGCGGGACTTTCGCCTGGCCTTGGGTAACGCTGACGCTGACGCTGACGCCGACGCCGACGCCGACGCCGACTCAATTCCCAACTGCAGTGCGGAGGATGATGGGAAGGATGGGGCAGATTGCACAAGCCTCCAGAGGAGGAAGCAAAGTACGAAGACGGAGACGGCAAGGCGAGAGAGCCACGGTGGCGTGTGGGTGCCCCCGCAGTACCCGAACCTGCAGCGCATCGCGCGCCTTGCGCATGTTTTGTGTCTCGAGGTGAGAGTGGTGGAGCGCAGGGAATTGGTGCAGCTGTGCGGGGAGCGGCGGAATCAGAACGTTGTGCTTGAGCTGGCAAGCTACACACCGTGGGCTGTCGCGGCGTGTCCGTGGCCTAGCGGCGGTCGTAATGCAGCCAGTCTCAGCAGCAATGGTCCTGACGGGAAAGAGACATCTGGGCCTCCGACCGGGGACGACAACGTGCTTTTCCTCGATCACGTGATTGACCCTAGCAACGTCGGCGCCATCATGCGTTTGGCATTTTTCCTGGGCGTACGGTGCGTCGTATTGAGTTGCGACAGCGCGCGGTGCACCGCGGCAGTGGCGCGGGCGAGCGCGGGGTTTATGGAGCATATGACTATCTACCGCAGCGTGGTGCCCACCACGAACTTCCTCGAGAACACCATCGCCCAGCACAAGGCTCGCGGCGACCCACGCAGGCTTGAGATATATGCCGCCATCACAATGCCACAGCACACAGCCCTGCAGGATCGACGTTACCCAACAGAGGTAACAGAAAGAGGAGGAGGCCCAATGCAACGTCGGCTGCTGCTACTGCTGGGCAATGAAGATAAGGGCTTGCCTCGTGAGGTGTTACGTCTGTGTTCTCATGCGGTGCATATCCCCTCCCTTCGGCAGCAGCAGTGCGAGCGGGGGGAAGGCGCTGCGCGGAAGGAAGAGGCTGTGCTGCGAGAGGATGCTGCTTTGTTGCGGCCGCAGGAGGTGTCATTGAATGTGAGTACGGCAAGCGCCATCATTCTCGCTGCTCTGCTGGCCGGGGATCGCTCTGTCGCGATTCACCGGCTTGGGTGACATGACGCAACCCACACGCATTCACTTCTTTTTCTAGGGAAGGGAGCGTGAGGGAGACACATAAGGAATGCGTGCGGTACTTTTTCTTTTTTTTGCTGTGGGTGTGACACTTCTCCTTTCCCGTACTTTGTCGTTCATCTGCTTCTTTTTGGCGGCAATGTGGTGGCGGCGCGCACTGCACTTCATGATGGTGGTGGGGACCTGGCCGACAACAGCAACAGCAGCAAGAAGACAAAGAGAGCAAAATAGCAAAAAAAACAAACAAACAAAAAACAAAACAAAACGCAGAAGGAAGGATAAACAGCGTACATTTATTCATTCAGGGAAGTGGGGGCGAGCGAGGGAGGGGAAGGAGGCTCACATTTTCTTCTTCGGTTGTTTTTCGTGCGTGCCAGTGGAATAGATACATCCATCTATCCGCCGAAACATACGGCGTGCTGGTGTCTGCGCGTGGCGATGGTGGGGGTGAGCGCGCAAAGAAGGTCAGCACACGTGCGGGAGGGAAAAAAACTTACAAAATGAGCCCCGCAGACAGCCTTCGCAGCATTCTTCTTGTACCACTACACATGTGATATGGGTGGAATACGGCCGATGTATGTGCTTTGCTTCTCTGCACCCCACCAGCAGTGGCGTGCCCTGCGTGCAGGTTTCTGTCTTTTGAATTGTTTCCACGCGGATGAGTGAACTTTTACAATACTGACAATGGTGTGTTCTGTGACTGGGCTGCAAAAGAACCATCTCTGCATGTTACTTTATTGTTGATGTCGTTGGGCCCATGTTTTTTCTTCACTTGCTCCCACCCAATCGCCGTGTTGTTCCTCACTGCGTCGACCGGTCCTCGTGGGGCGCCTTGCCCCGTCACCTGTTTCTTTTTCTTCATTTTCTTGCGTCTGTTCTCCGCGCCGGATTCATTGCTTTTGGCCCCACACTGTCGTATCTGCTTTTTTTTTTTGCTGTGCAGCCTGTAGTTCTTTACACGCACATCGACGCCCGCGGGCGGGGCAATGACAAGCGGCGGCGGCTCCACCGCCAGCGCAGGGGCAGAGTCGACGGCAAACGAGACCACACGCAACTTTATTCTTGGCTTCCCGAAGGAGGGCCCGGCGCCGGGGAGCGCTGACGCCGCCTCCCTGCAGGAAGCAGAGGTCTTCCTGGGGGAGATTCAACAGGAGATTATGGCGTATGACTTGGCCAACGCACGGGCTATGGAGACCTACGCGCGTAGCTGTTGGGAAAAGATCCCCTTCTTTGGCAAGCGGTGGGCGGTTGCGGCTGCCTCCGATGTGGAGGGATGTAGCAAGCCTCTCGATAGTCACGGTAACGCACACGGTGATACCGCCACTGTCGCAGCTGCGACGCACACCATGCAGGGGAAGTACCGCGTGGAGCGGACCTCGGCGGATGCGGTGGGTGGGGCCACGCGGACTCCACAACCAAAAATGAACAGCTGGCTCTTCAAGCAGCGTCACCCCGGGTGGGTGCCGCTCATTCAACGCTGGTGGGTCCCTTGCGTTTGTGTGGCGGGCCTTGTTGTCATCTGGACACCCGATGTGTGGAAGCTACGGACGTTGTATTGGTGCGATCACAAGTACGCCTTGTTGCGGCAGAGCGTGCACAGGGCGTACTGGCGTGCAACGATGTGTGCAGCGGACTACGAGCAGCTGATGCAGGAATTGGGGCAGAGCCAGCCACGGTCGGTGAAAGCCACCAAATGCCCGCTGTAAAAACCCATGTGGCGGGGGGAGGAAAGACGAGGAGAAAGGTGTGGGTGACGCCACGCAGCACAGTGGAAAGGCGACCCACCGTGACGTGCGGGCAACCTACTGCAGACGGCAAAAGCGGATAAGAAGCAGAAAAGGCAAAGGACACGTGTGCGTGTGCGTGTGCGTGTGCGTCTGCTTCTGCTTCCATGCGATCCCCGTCGCAGGAATGGGAGGTGGGGCGAAACAAAAAGTGTGCGTGAAGAAAAATTCAAAGGGACAGACAAACAAACAAACAAACATCAAAAGGGGGAAAAAAAAACCAAAGACAGATCGGCAATAACCACAAAAATAACGATAGCGGATAAGCGGGAATTGACGAGGCGAGGCGAGGCGAGAGTAGGGCAGAGGAGCCCGCCGTCATTTATTTCTCGCAACACGATGAAGTGGCGTACGGTTGTTGGCTCCCCAATTTCCGAAATATTTGCGGAGGAGCCTCAATGGGGCCAAACGCGGGGAGGCGGAATGTTGCACTTGCAGCGTACGCAGAATGGGCGTCTGCACCGTTGTTGTGTGTGTGATGCCTGTGGGTCCGCGCAGGCACCACCACCGGCGACGGGAAGGGAGAAGGAAAGAAGAAGGAATACCTGCAGTGAATAGTCTTTTTTTTTTTTTTTGTGTTGCTCACCGTATTTCTTTTTTTTCTATCCTCTTTGAGGACCCTCATTCATTCATTCATTAGTGTTTTCCCACTTCTCCATCGTATGGCCTTCCTTGACTTTTTTTTTTTTTTTTTGTCCCAGCCGTCTCCCCTTCCCACTGCCCCCTGTAGGGATGGAGACTTGTATGATTTTTTCTTTTCCTCGCTCTTGCCCTGGCTCTCAGCGGGTGTGTCAAGCCAGAACGCAGAGCACGCTTCCCTTCTATAGGGTTGTGCCTCAAATTTGACCCCAGCACCACTCCCGTTGCCACCACCACCACCGCACGACCGGCGTGTAGGCTGGCGTGTCAATAGAAGAAGAAAGGAAAATAAAATAACCAAAAAGAAGAAAAGAAGGAGGCCTGCGTGGGTCCGACGGGGATGTCGTCAGATCCAGCAGCGCCCGCCGCTGTGGATGATGCCCAAACAAACCCGCCACGTGGCGGTGAGGCCTGGGCCATAGATTTTTCACTTCCAAAGATGCGGCGAAGGATCACGCGGAGGGAGCGCAATGCGGTTATCTCCAGCCGCATACGGTGGCAAATGCAGCAGCCGCAGCAATCCCCCTCGGGGGAAGAGACGACGTGTGCAGGACAAGTGCTGGGCGTTGGGCAGGCGACGGACAGCGAAGACAACCGACACCTGCGGATAGTAAACGTTGATAACATGGCGGACCTTAGTGGTCTGATTCCCCGAAACCTCACCACCACCCGAGCGGAGCTTGAGGAGCGTCTTTGCCTACGCCTCCCACGCCTACTTGCTGTGGCAAAGCAGTATCCAAAAAGCTGCGGTGTAACGTCGCTGGCGTCTATATGGAACTACCTTTACACACGTCTTGGCGAGGCTGCGGTGGGTGCATCTCGCGGGCCCGTGTCGCAGGAGGAAATCATGTCTATTCTCGGTTTCGCCCCCCCGTTCGATGAGATCTTGTGGGGTCCGTTTACAGGCAATGGAACTCTCCTCAGGTGGTTTTATGCCATCAACCGTCACTTTGGCGTCAAGGGGCGGGCGTACATATTGTACAAGCCGCAGGGAAAGGGTCGTACCAGCTGTACTGCAGAGGAGGCGCTGCGGGAGCTGAAGCGCGTTCTGCGCGACCCACACGCCGCGGTGGTGTACCACTGCCACAACCACTACATGGTACCTGTTGGATTTCAAGAGATTCCCCTAGCGCAAACGGACTTTTACGCCGCCCATGTGCCGGAGTTTCGCACGGAGACTACAATCTTCATTGGTGAGGTGAGTCGCGGACGGAACGAGGCAATGTACGCGCGAAAGTGGAGCGAAATTGTGAAAGATCTCATGTGCTGCTCCCCGCAGTTCTACAACATCCGCCGACCGGAGATGGGAATTCAGACACGTGTGCCAAAGAAGAAGAAGCAGAGTGAGGCGATAGGCGGCGATGGTGAGGCGGAGGTGGTCGTAGCGGAGCAGGCGCAGCAGGACGACAACTCACCCGCCAGCGCGTTGCCCCCTCCAGCGACGCCTGCATCAGAAGAGACGGCTGTGGACGGCGGCGGTGCAGCGCTACAAGTGATGGCGAGCACTGCGAAAAAGAAAAAGACGGGAGAGGGCAACCTCCACTGCCTGATATGCTTCCGCAGCGACGAGGTGGAGGAACACCCGGAGCGCTACGAGGAGCTCTCCTCGGCCTCAAGCAGCAGTGGCAGCAGCAGCAGCAGCGCCAGCGACGAAGATAAGTACAAGGCAGTTGCGGATGTACAACCGATATGAATAATCCGTTTGCTGGTGGGGGCTTCTACACCCGACGGCACAAACGCGACTACCGTGGCGGTACACATCTAACGTGCGCGCCGCTCCCGCCCACTGGGGTGGCCGTGCACACAAATGCAAACCATTCGGAGGAGTCAACATGCACACACCGGCAGAAGTTAACGCACAGGAACAGAGTAGTGGTGGGCGGATTTTTAAGTGCCTGTTTTTCTCGATTGCCTTGTTTGCCTCCTTTTTTTTTTTTTTTGGGTTTGCGGTGCTCCAAAGCCATTTCCACGCGGGGTTGCTGCTTTTACTCTTATCACTGGACTTTTCTACTTCACACCAAAAACCTTCTCCTCCTCCCTTTACTGAAATAAGAAAACGAGTGTTGTGGCGAAGTCATACACACATGTGTCTTTACATACGTGTGTGCGCGTGTGAATATCTATTGCGTCTTCGCGCATGCATTTCTCTTCTGTCTGTGTGTTGGGTACCGCTGGGAGGAGCAGCTACACTAGCAGGGGCAACAGTACTTTATACACACCCATATACCACATATAGGGTGAGGGTAGGTCTTTCTCTTTTTCTCTCTCTGTGTGTGCCCGCGGCTGGGAGAAGGGAAGCGACCAGCGGTTGCAGGCGTTGTGGTTGCCAAATGCGACCGCGTAAACCCGAGGTGCGTGCCTCCCGCATCCGCCGTTTCCAAAGTGATATAAAGGGCATCCAAGGCAGCGATGACGGCTACGCGGTTAGAAGTGAGCACGGCAGCGGCGAGGGAGGGATACTCGCGACGGACGCGGCACAACTCATGGAGCGGATGCGACGCCGCTCGGATGAGCGCCGAAAGGCGGAGGTGCGTGTGGGCGAGCGTGAGGGATGGATCAAGGCGCACTACGCCGAAACCTCAGCCGGTGTGCGGTTTGACAAGGACGACGTCCTAGCGGGCCTCATCGCGGACACAAAGTCCAGCTTCCTCAAACTAGACCAGGAACTCTCGGAGGATCACAGGATCGCGACACAGCGTCTGCACGCCGCCGTCTTTGCCCATACCCCAGATTTTTTGCAGCTCTTTCGTGACGTGAATCGCGCGAGTACACTGGTGGAGAGTTTAAAGGGTCGCGTGCAGGGAACGAAGGCCGCCATATCTGCCATTAGTAAATTTAGTGTTTACTTCGCTGGCGCCGGTGACGGGGAAAACCGTGCCGTCCCGGAGACGTTTGGTGTGCCGCTGCTCTGCGGTGGTGGATGTGGGGTCAACCGCGGCACCACCGCCGTTCTTAGCGGTGGCAATAGTAGCAATAGTGTTGTGAAAGCGCGCGCGAGGCCGAGTCTCATTTCTGTGCGGCTGATGCGAGGGGACACTTCTGCCGCCAACTTACATGGTGACAGCAGTGCCACTAACACGCGCGTCCACCACTACGAGGGAAACAACAGCGGCACCAGCAGTAGCGTTGAAGTTGCCGCGGGTGGCGGAGGTGTGGTGGGCAGCGGAGGCGCTCGGCCGGTGGTTACAACCCGGTCTTTGAATACGCCGTCAGTGCGGCTCTGGCGTGAAGCGACTCTGGCAGTTGGGGGCACATCCGCCTCGATGCAGCGGCATCGTCAGCGGTGGTTGGACTTGGATAGAAACCGTGGGATGCCGAGTTCGCAGGACATTGGAATGTTTGCGGATGTGCTGCGGGATGAGGTGATTCAACTCCTGGCGGGACGGCGTTACCTTGAGGCAGCGGAATTGCTACGCGGCGTCGAGGCGGCGGCCGTTACAAAAGGATGCCTTCCACTTATTTTGAGGCTAGATGAGCTGCTCGTAGGTGTTATACGAACCCACCTGCTGCGTTTACCGATGCCCCTCATGTACAGTGAAAGCTTGCATATTCCCCTCGTTCAGCTGCTGCTGCGGCTTGGTAGAGTGCACACAGGGACGCAACTCTTCTTTCAACTTCACGCCGCATGGGTGGATGCGGAGATGGATGAGCTGCAACTGCGCATGGATCCAATGCACGGCGCATTGATCGCCAGTGACTTTCTCGTTGGAGCAGTGCAAGAGGTGTTGCTGCGGCAGCAAAATTTATGGAATGCCGTTGGCCTCAAACCTGAGGGGGCACCCCACGATGCTGACAAGGATGGGTGGAGTAGAAGGGAGGAGGAGAAGGCCTCACACGGCGCCACTTCTACTTCTACTGCTTGTGGCAACAACGATAGCAGCCACCGTGGCCGCAAAATTGACGGCGGTAAAGGCGGGGCAAGCGGTGATTCCAATGGGACGACCCAAACTGGCGTGTTTACAATGCCACCGAACTCTGCTGCCGTACTCTGGGTGCGGGAACGCGTCGACAAACTCGCACGGGAGTTGCTGGGAACCAGGGCACTGAGTTACGGCATTGGCGCTGAGGGGGGTGACCCGTCGCGGTTTTGCCGCGCTGTAATGATGGCAGCTGACGCGATTCGTACCGTGCGGCGAATGGATGACTCGGGATACGCCGGATGCGACACCCACTTGCTGCGCCTGCTGACCCCAAGCCTTGTTTACCTGCAGGCAGACTTCAGCGTGTGCACGGACAGTCGTCTTGAAAGCACGGGCCTGGCAATGGTGGAGCATCTCATCCGGGACGCGCGGCTGATGTATGAGACTCGTGAGGCCGCCTACAACCCTAAGCTCTGTGAGGAAGTCGCACGCCGAAGCAATCGCGGCTGCCGCGAGCTGCAGCAGCGTCTGCGACATCTTCCCCGCACCTCGTATGCCGTGTTGCTGGAATTCCTCCTTGCCCCAGCTTCCTCAAGTCTCTTTACGCAACAGGGCAGCGGGGGTGAAATCTCGTCACCGCTGCCTCAGCAGCTGAGACAGTCTTTATCACCGGAGAAGTACACCTTTTTGCGTTACGCCAACGGCTGTACACACGCCCACGGCCTTCTCCTTTCTTCACTGATTCGGTTTGTGGCGGCCATGACAGGCCAGGAATCACTGCCGTTGGAGCGCAAGGAAAAACAGAAAACACACGAACCAACTGATAAACTGCGAGAAAACCAGTTGGAATGTGTGACATTTCTCTTTTCCAATGCCCTCGTGTTAGAGTCCCTGGACATTACGATGCAGCGTCTTTTCCTTTCGTTTCTGCGAACAACACTACGACAGCGGCAAACGTTAGTGTCATTTTTGCGCTCTGCGTCGTTCATGGACATGCATCGCCAGCTATTTGGAGTTGCGGGGGAATCCACCGCTGCAGCCTCACCTGTCTTCTCCACAAGGTGGTTGCTTGGCGCCATGCAGCTGCTCCTAGCAGATGTCTTGAGTGCGTCTGTCTGGGTGGCTTTTCTCTCTCGCGGTGGGGCCCTGTCCTACATGCTGCGTGCTGCGGCGCTGGCATTTTGCTCACAGTACCTGGAGGAACTGCGTCGTGTGTTGCCGCGTCTCGTGCAGGGGTGGATGGCTGCTGTACTGAGCCTGGCGCACAACCTCGACACTGCGGACAAACTCCTCATTGGGGATGCTGCCCCTCTGTTTTCTTCTTCTTCTGCTGATGCTCCAGCACCTGCTGGGAAGGAGGCCACCGCCGCGGGGCTGCGGAGGGGCCGCGCCACCTCAACTGTGGCCGCTTCTGCTGCAACTTACTTGGAGGGGGGAAACGACTCACACGATGCTGTTGCTCAGCTACTCCAGGCTGCGGCCGTCGATGAGGCACAACTTATGCCCTTTTTGCTGAGCCTCGTGTTCGACCAATTCTCGACACGCGGCGATAGGGAACTGGGGGCAGCGCAGTCTGATGCGCCAGACCAGCCCTCACCCCCACTACTGCTGCTTCCGCTTGGTAGTTTGCGTGAGACGCTAGGCAACTACCCACGGTTCCCCATTGGCGGTGATTTTGACTACAACGACGAGTTGTTTCTCTTTCACTGGTGCGTGCAGATCTCGCTGAACACGCTTGCGTTCTTTCAGGAGCACCTGGTTCTACCAAGCCACGTTCTGAATGAGCATTGGTCAGCACAGCAGCACAGCTCTCCCACAGCGGGGACGAGTCAGGATGGAGCGACGGTGGGATCACGGTATCCTCTGCGGGGCTGCGTCTCTCCGCAGGAGGAATCGGTGCTCGGGGCATTGGCTGCAGGCGGAGGGAACTACGTAAGCGGGACGGCACTCCTGCAGTTTGTTGTTTTTCGTCTGCTGCGCGACGTGCTGTGCCATGTCGAGACATGGAGTACCGTGTACGGTCGTCCTCCGGAGGAATGGCGTCAATCCGAGAGCATACTGAGACAACAGCTCTTTTTCTTTGCCCTCTTTATCCGCATCTGGTCGCCGCTCTTCGTTGGCAGGTCGAGGCCAACGCCACAGGGGGGAGCAGCGACGACAAACCTGAACGACAACATTGACGGCGCACCAGCGCTGGTGATTTTGCAGTGGCTGACATGTGCCACGAAGGCGTCGGGAGTTGAAGCTGGGCGTTCAGAGCCGCCACAGCGGTGCGGTTTTGATGTAGAGGGCTTGGCGTTTTCTTCGGCTGCCGTGGGCGCAGCGGCCGCATCTCCGGCCGTGCGGGGTCGGGGCGCCTGGAGGACTCAGCAGACCAGCGTCAACAGTGGTGAATGTAGGCAAGAATTGGGGGCCAGGGAAGAGGAGGCGACGCCTTTTTTAAGCGAAAGCCCCGCTGGTCTCCCATTACCAACGGGCTGCAATGCAGCCGCGAACACGGACGGCGATGTCATGGGGCCTAGCCTGCTGCTACTTGACATGATTAGCTCTTTTTTTGATGCGCTGCAGGAGCCACGGGCGATGCTGGCGATCAACTCCGAGGTCACGCAGACCCGGGTGGAGAGGGTTGTGACGTCCGTCGACCTGGCCGAGTTTGCCCGGAAGGTGGGACTAAGCGAGAGCGACGAGGAGGATGATGAATATGATGACGAGGAGGGAGATGATGGTGATTCTGTTGGGAGCAGCAGCAGCAGCAGCAGCAGTAGCGGCGGGACAAGCACGGCAAGGACTGGTGTATTGGCGCCATCACCACGGACTGCGGGTACGAAAGAGGCGTCGTCACGGTCCCGAGTGACATTGCTGCAAGTGCACGACCTCCTCGTGTACTATTTGGCTCCGCTTCTTTGAGGCGGGGAGGAAAGGGGTGAGTCTTTGGGTGGACGGGCGGGGGAGGGCGCAGAGGCAGCGAGGTGGATGCGTTCAGTATGCGAGTGATCTTTTTCCCTCCTCGCTGCAGTAGACAAGGGACGGTGTTTGTTGTCTGCACAGAGTCAACTTCACGCAAGGTGAATATTTGGCGTCGTCCCCAGCGTATATATTCCGCCAATTAACATTTTTCTTATTTCTCTTATTTTAATTTGCCTATCCATTTGCCCTGTTGCCACACGACATATCCCCATCTTTCTTCTTCCAGTGTGACTGTGGCTGTTTAAAGTGAAGCACATGCAAAGTGGTTACCGTGTGCCCCCCAGGGTCCTCAACTCCCTTTTCCATCTGCAGGACAGCCTGAACGCAGCAGTGCATCCCAATTGGCGTGAAACCCGCCGCCCAGATGACTGGGCTCTTGCCATTACTATGGAAAGCTCCGAGTTGATTGACTCCTACCCGTGGAAGTGGTGGAAGAGCTTGAAGGCCCCGGCGGATATGCAGAACGTGAAGATTGAAATTGCTGACATTCTCCATTTTTCGCTCTCCGGCGAGATGCAAAAACGGACGGGTGACCCAAAGCTATGCAAGAATATCCCCCTGCAAACGATGAAGGAGCAGGGCTTTTTCTGCCGTCCACCCACAGACGCTGGGACAACGGCGGCGTCCGGCCAAAGGACAGGTAATGCCGATAAAAATGAGCTCTTTGACCTTATTTTTTTTCCTCTCACCAACGTTGACAACGCCGTGGCGACGTTTCGAAACATCATTCTACTGGCCAGCATCTATCGCTTTGACCTCATCACAGATGCCCTCATATTGGTGGCACGGGACCTGGACTTCAGTCTAGTCGGGTATTATGTGGCGAAGTACACCCTGAACCACATCCGCCAGATGAAGGGCTACAAGGAGGGCGTGTACGTGAAGGTCCGGGATGGGGTTGAGGATAATGTGCTTTTGCATGATTGCGTCCAAGCCATTCCAATGGACGAACTTCTCAACGAGGAGACATACTTGGAGACGTGGATTAAGATTGCCAGCTCTGTCTTTGATGCTTTTGAGATGCCCGAAGGGGAAAGACAACAGGCATACAACGGGTTGAAGTCAGCAGCACTGGAAAGGAAGCAGTAGAGAAGGAGCCATCCCTGCCTCTGAATTGGGGCGACAGGGGCGCGTGAGATGCAAGGGACAATCAAACACACGATAAGGGCGTTCGAGGTGTGGAAGGAGGCCTACTGGGGTTCTTACGCCGGTACCGTGGCAACGCCTGAATACGAAGGATCCAAAGGGGGAGGATGGCGTTCCGATTGACTTTCCTTTGATTTTTTTTTTACGTCTTTTTTTTTCTTGTGCTTCTTTTTATATTGCCAAGGAAGTAAAATAACAAAAAAAGGCTTACTCCCCTAGCGAAGCTATGGGCCACCTTGCTGTGGTGTAAGGATCCGACGCCTTTGCAGGGAAGGGAGCCAAAAGCCAGCAATCAGTCTCTTCAAATTGTGGCTGGATATCGGTAACAGCAGTCAGGCGTCGGGTGGTGCGGTGGCCGGGAGGCCCGGGACAAAAATAGCAGAGTTTCCTTCCAATGGCTGTGCCTGCTGACGTGTAGCGACATCTCTCACAATGAGGATTTATCAGTGGCAGCCTCTGCAGCTGTGCGGGATGTGGAATTGAGTCCGTGTCCCGTCTTACGGACCGCCCAGTGAAACACTGGCAGACCCAAGCAGAAGAAGCTGGCCATGATGGAGACGAGGGCGGAGGAGGGGCAAACTTGGGTGCGTGCTCCGTTTGAGGACAAGCCTTCGCTGTGAACGAGTGCAAGTGTTTTTATTTTCAGGTCCGGAGTCACTGGGGTGGAAGCTGTAAGGGTGGCTTGAAGCGCACTTGCAGTGATGCCTGCGGGGCGGGCGGTTGTATGCACGCAGTGCGGCTTTGCGACGACTGATGGAAAAACACATAGCGGGCACTTGTCGGTGGAATGTGCGGTAGGGCAGCTCCCCGGCACTGGGCGGAGCCTGGGAGGCTTTGAGCGCACCGCACACAAAAACCTAACACCTCTGGCAGCGCCCAGGCCGCCGTTGCGAGAGCGAGTCAATCAAGGCGCCCCCGACCTCAGGTGCTGGAGGTTTGGAAAGCGTGGCAGAATGCTGCGCCATCTGCACCGAGGCACCTGCACGCTGTGACGATCAACGTTCCAGGATGGTTTTGTAGAGGCTGAGTTCTGCGCCCCGCAATGCAGTTCTCTGCAGTGCTCGCGCTGGCCCCGCGTACATGATCGTGGAGATCATCCTGACCGTTCCTTGCCCGGCTCTTCGTCTCCACCGCGACTGCAGCGGTTTCTTATTTTCGGTGTTGCTGGGGACCCAGAGCGTGTTAAATGCCCCTATTGCCTGCAGGTGCACCACATGCTGGGTGGGCTGTGCGTGATGTGGGGGCGGCGGGC